ATATATATTTGCAGACCTGTGAAAACCTTTTGGTTTCCAAATTTTGATTCTTCTTAATTTGAACATGAACTTACATTAATTATTGTGTTATCTGTCTTCATGATTCGCCACACTTACTGAAAAATCTAAAAGCTATAGACTACTTTAAAGAACATTGATTTAGTGAGACATAAACATTTACAGCTGCTGATGGGATGGATGATGCCATGACTGTGGCAGAACAAAATTACATTTTTAATGGAACAGTAAAAACCATTAGTGTATATCAGCAGTAAGTGCCACAGGTATTTGTTTCCCGATTTAACATTTTGCTTTGGTTCTGTAATTACACCGCACTGTTTTCTCCATTCAGCCCAGTGATTAACTATACGCTGTTTGTGGTTTTGCAAATGGCTCTTGAAATTAAAAGGATCTTAACGTATTTCATTTGAAAAGATAAAATATGCCAGGGAGAAAGCATAATGAACAGAGAAAAAAAATAATGATAAACAGCAACCACGCTATGGTGGGCAAGAAAGAGAGAGGCACTTCCTCTCCGCAGAATGGTGAGAAGCGATAAACTCGCTCTATAAACATTTATGAAATTGCTTTAAAATATGATCATCATCATATTACTAAAGGTCATCCACATTCATTAGTCAGCAGGCTTGCTGAATAGAACAGCTGCTCCTTTCCCCCATATGTTCCCTCTTGTCCTTCTTGGCTTTCTTTCCATCTTAAAGTGTTTTAACTCAATGAAAACAAAGAAAAAAATACTCTGAAAGATTAAAGGCTCGTCTTATCAATAGTTTAAATCTCCTTCTCCTGTTTCTATGTTTATTAACGTTTGTGTCCCCCTTTATGTCGACTCAGTAGCTCCGTCTCTCTGACTGGGCTCTGTCTCGAGGGGACCCAACGTCAGATTGTTATCTTTGTGTAATCAGGCATTGCACAGCTGAGTCAAACAATGCTCCTCTTCTCATCCTAACCACCATCCGTGCTCCTCCCCCCTTGTGACCATACCTCATTTATTTGACACACTTCTTGTAGCTTCCTTTATTCCTTCCCCTCTGTCGTGTGTGTTTTCCTAGATACCTTTCAGTTGCTGTGTGCAGTGAAAGCCACTGTATTCATCACAGCTGTTTGCACTTCTTCTGTAACAGAATGCCTCAAGGGGTACAAGTCCTGACACGGAGTAATTCAAGCATTTCCATAACATCTACAGCTAGCAGAAAATGTGTTTGGTCAGCAGCTGTCACAAATCCACAACAATATTCTTTCATATTTGATGGTCCCCATAAATCAGCAAACAAATTCTAAAATAAATTGTTTTTCCTTCACTTCTGCCATCTTTTCCTCTTCTTTCCCTTCATTAGGCTGCTATCCTTTCAACAGTTCTGCTGCTGCACCTTTTTCCCATCCCTCCCACTCCCTTCATTCCTCTTCTCTGCTCTCCCTACTTTCCCTCCATCAAACCCTCCCATCTGTTCACGCATGTCTTTCGACATTTTTCTCTGCTTCATCCATCTTGTTCCAATAACATCACTCATCATTTCCACCACAACTTTGTAATTCTGACTCAAATAAATGACAGCTAACCCTTTCTTCCTAACTCATTGGAGGTAAACTAAATTCTGCAGTACCAAGAGGACTTTATCAGCAGGGAGAATCAATCTTCCTGCTGATAACGGTTTTCTTCATATTGTTCAAATGTGACTGCGGGGTTTCCAAGAAACATCAACAATATGCTCTGCATCTCATTTGCAGAAGAGTAATTATAGCTCCGAGAGTGACAATGCATGGAGTCAAACAGAGAGACAAACAGACTAGTAGGACTGAGGAGGTAAAGAATTTGAAGTAAAATTATGCTGTCGTGTATTTGATGTCTCTTATTTCTTGCTGTTGATTTTTTTGGCAGGATGTAAGAAACGATTTTTGGTGACACCTTCGATCACAGCCAGCACCATGCAGCATAATAACAGTATACACTTTTATCCTAATATAAAAATAAGAACATGTACCTGTACCGTATGCAAAAATTTTGAAACAAGGACATCACATTTTGGATTCTTACTAAATGAATGTGACATTTAAAAAAAAAAAGAGTGATGACTTCTGCAGCAGTTCTTTATACACATTTCAAAGGTTTTGAGCTAGTCTTCAGGAAAGGTTCTCCAGGCTTCTTGAAGGACATTCAGAGTTCTTCTTTGGATACTGAATGCCTTTTGTTCCATTCTTTGTCAAAATGATCCCACATTAAATAAGTAACAAGTTGCTTTATCTGTAGATGCAACACCAGTTCCTCCCTTGAATTAGGTACGTTTTTTATGTTTGAAAGATTCATTGGTCAGTCTTAAGTTAAAAAAAAATAGATGTAAATAAATAAAAAGGTACTTAGAATGAACTGAAAAACAGCCATTTTTCAGTTAAAAGCTTTAAAAGACCTTTAGAAAGCCTAATGAACTATTGCTCGAGGCCACTTCAAAAACAATACAATAAAGTATGGCTCCTTGTCAGAAAATATAAAGAAATGATGGGCAAATTGAGACTTTAAATCTTACAGCAGTGCTTTAAGATTGCAAAACAAGGATCACAATGCAATTTGTTTTCACATTTCTTTCAAATTGAACTGTATAACTAACCAGTAAGGAGTTATGCTTACAATTAGTGGTTCAGCTTAGGTTGATCAGAAGAGTCATTTGCCCCTCCCAAAAAAACGCCAAAAGTCTGCTCTTGCAATATCTTTGAATAACAGTGTGATATACCCTTTTTAAATAAAAGAAACATTATGTGTATGCTGTCAAATTTCTTAAAAAAAAAAAATCCCAGGGAGCCTGACTCACACTAGTGTATTACTGGTGTATACAGTGAATGTTAATGCTTTTTATGTGCTCTCAATCCCTCCTTGTGCATTTGCACGCAACGAGCCTTCTCAGAGGTTCAACATATTCAACATACATCAATATTCATCCAAAAAACAGCATACAGGTTGTTCTGGGGCTCTTGCAGGTTGGGGCAGCTGCTCCCTGATTGCACCTGACATCTCCAATCGACTGCAGGATTAATCCAGACAAGGGGCTTCTCTGCTTAAAATCCTATAGATCTGCCTACAGCACCAAAACTTTATTTACTATCCTAGTGGCAACAATCAAATGCAGATCAGGCGCATAATAATATTTTTTTTTTCTTTTAAGCATGAAATATGGCTCAATACACAAGTTTGTGTTCTGCAAACTTTCGTAAATCATATAATTTGCTTCAAATTATTCAGGTTAAAAAGGGAAAAAAACCTCCTAAAAATACATATGTAATGAGACCTGCCACAAAAATAAACATGCCTCTGCTTTTCAGTCACTAAATTGACACTGTGTGTTTCCTGTAAATACTGACAGTAGTTTATCTTTTGTTTATTTGTTTTTTCATTGTCAAAATAGATTTTCCACCGGCTTACAAACAGACCATTTCTAAATCTGACTCCAATTTCATGTGTTTTCTTTGACTGGATATTGACCATGCAAGACTACCAAAAAAAAAGAAAGAAAGAAAACCTAAATCATTTCAAGGATTTCATACCAGAAAATATATCTATGTTGGATAAATTCTTTGTTTCACCGGCAGCTGCACGTTTCAGGCTTAAATACACACCTGTGAATTTGAGGAATTACTCCTTTATTGTGTTGTGTGATTTCATTTGTCTGTACACAAAACACTGTATGCAAAAGTAAGATCACCTCTCCTATGGAAGAAAGAAATCATTGTGGAAAGGTTGATGGATATCACATCACATCAATATCAATAAATGCATAAGAAAAGTGTCTTCTCGGGTACAGAAAGTACAGAAAAATCCCAGTTTAGTAGGCTATGCATTTGATCTTATGTGTATTCATTCCTACAGGCCGTGCCAAACTATCATTAACTTGCAGAAAGCAGAGAAGATGAAAATTTCCGGCACTTAAATGAAAAAAATAGCTGCAAGTGAGTATTTCTCACATTAATCATTCCTTTAGATAAACAGGGAGATCGCTTTACCCTGATTATTTATTGATTACACATTCCTGTAATGACTTTGCATCCAAACTAATTAGAGTGACCCCTCACTTATGATCCAATAAAATGCAGTCTCTCTCTCTCTGAGCACAAAACTAAGCCTCAATAAGGACTTCGTTCTTTAATGAATGGACCTGTGCATACAGTATGAGTCCAGACATTTGAAGACACAGAGGAGATTAAAAAAAACACACAACAGGAGGTCTGCTGCCTTTTTGGCACGGCACTTTTTATTAATTGCAAAACTTTGTGCAAGTTTTAAAAAAAATCAGTATTCCTGCAACTTTTAGTTAAAAGAAAAAGAAACATGACTTAGAATACGAAGCGGAATGACAGCACGTTTTAGTCTGATCGTGATCGCTTTAATATCTGGATTTTACTTGAGCTCAGTCCACGCTGTGTGTTCGCCATGTTTTAGTGCAACTCATTCACCAAAGTGAAGCAAAAACACACACCCACTAAAGTCACAGTAGTCTTTGCTGCTGTATGAGAACTCAATATTGACTCACAGAGTCAGAAACAAGAGAACTACACTGTAGTGCCCTTAAATCAATAATATACATAGACCAGCAGAGCAGGATGAACTGAAAATGATGAGTAGGGATTTCATGGGGTTTTGGCACCATGCTTTAGCAATTTTTTAATCAGCGTTTGTACATAAAAATAAATTGACTCGCAACGTTTCCATTGTTATTACTGCTGCTGGCAGATGGCCACACAGAGGGCTCTAGTCTTTATGCAAGAGAGTTGCTTTGAGGTAACTTAGAATTAGAGCATAATGGATGAAAGAAAGTCATATATTGATCTTGGATACATTTTAAGATGATTCTATCTTTATAATATTGGAGGTTTACTTTGACATTTCCAGCAATTTGTGACCTTGCTGTCTTTTTTTCTCTCTTTTTCCATAAACTAATATAATTGGCTGTTCAAAGTGCTTCATATTTAAGATAGAAACTGCTATTAAAATTTTCATTAATGTTGATTTCTTTCTTTCTTTCTTTCTTTCTTTCTTTCTTTCTTTCTTTCTTTCTTTCTTTTTAGTTAATCACTTACCAAAGAAGCAATAGATGATTCCAAAGAGGCAGCACATGGAGCAGACCACAGAGGGCACAATCTCATATCTCCTCTCAATCTCCTGGTCACACCTCAGCCCCACCTCAGCCAAGCCAAACAGCTGGCTTGTGGAAGTCATGGTGGATAAAGTGGAGGCGACGGGGTCTAAAGGAGAGAAGAAGGTAGGGGGAAGGGATTGAGGGGGTTTGAAGGAATTTCTGGATCAGTGGGCCTCACCCACGGAGACGTGTCTAAGGGCGGGACAGAAAAAAAGAATGATGGAAAGAGAGGGCAACAGTGAGAAGGGATGAGGAAAAGAAAGAGAGAATTATTATTGATTGCTCATTTTAAGTACTCAGCTCTGAGTGCTGACTATACACTAAGCATGCTCCATATTTCTGAAAAAAGAAACATCTCAGCACAACCATGAGTACTGCTGCAGATAAAATGCAATTCAGCCACTATCATTCACTTGGCTGTACAGTATAAAGTTCGACCAGTTGCAGGAGCTATGCAACACACACACATATTCAAGTTGTTGCCATGGAAAAAAACAACAGAATGAATTTGCATAAATTTGCATGGTGTGGGAAATTTGCGACACAAGTAAGAGGCTGTTTGTAGACCTCTTATTTGTACGCCAGAGCTAAGGTTTACGAAACGATTAATGTAAAAACCCCTTAATAATTTCACATCAGTGCTTGTGCCTGCACTCTGCCACTGATCTGTTCACTCACTGAAATATTACATGAACTCTTCTCTAAAACCATTCATTCTGCGAACATTTCACATGACCTAAAAGAACAAATATTCCTTGTTTTCAACAAATACTCTGTGTTGTAACTTTTTCAGATATTCTACTGGGCTTTTAAACCATTTACCCAGGTTAAGAATATACCGATCCTGTAACACCTAAATCTAAAATTAGTATTTTAAGTAACCAAATTTATGATTTAATGAAAATAAAGATTTTGGTAGATTTAGGTATATATTTCTCTGACATAGAAAAACAAGTTGATAATTCACAAAGTCCATACTTCAGTATAACAATATAGTGTTGAACAGAATAGAATAGAATAGAATAGAATAGAATAGAATAGAATAGAATAGAATAGAAAGCCTGTGTTGTGACTGTACTGAGTGAAACCAGAATATAATGACAATATTAGGATACTACTCCTGATTAAATAAAGTAATAAACACATATAAATAGATATATAAAAAATAAGCATAATTCATATGCATGTATAGAAAAGCATAGACAAAAAATAATGCACAATTAAGTATAGATAACTAAATCCAAAGTTCAATGACTAATGTAAAAGCAAGGTTATATTGTACTAGTAAATCAGTGTTATTACTATGTATATTACTATACATAGTATATAGTGGTTATCACTGTTGCCTCACAGGAAGAAGGTCCTTGGCCTTTAATACTTTCTGTGTGGATTCTGCATGTTCTCCCTGTGCCTGTGTGGGTTCTTTCTGGGTACTGGGACCCTCCCAAAGTCCAAAAACATGGTTAGGTTAACTGGTGATTCTAAAGTGGCTCTAGATGTGAATATGAGTGTGAATGCATGCCTGTCTATCTATTTGTGTTAGCCCCGCTACAGACTGATGAGCCGTCCCCTTCTCTCCTGCTGTCATAGCTGGGATAGGCGAGGCGGATAAGCAGAAGAAGATGGGTGGCTATGTGTAATTGACTTTAATTTGTAAATACACAGGGTAGGTGATGCATTGGATGCTCTTAATATTATGTTATGAGAAGCTATTAAGTTCACAGTTTGCTTTCTAGGAGATGTGCCTTTGCATAATGTACCATATTCTAGCGCTGATAACACGGTCTCCTTGATAACTTCATTCTTAATGAATCTTCTTTGTGCCACAAAAACACACAAGGAGATCAGCTCCATCTGGTGTCAAACACACGCTGTTCAGAAACTCCTTTGTCATATGTTTCTTCAAGCGATTGCGGGCTTTTGTAGGATTAAAATGTGCATGACTTCCACTTTGGTCTTTTTAGAAGCATTTCTGCTCTCAGGTGATAAACTGATCAAAGTTAGTTATGTTTCACAGACTTTGAGCAAAGTTAGCTGAGGGGAATGTCAGTCAATTACAGTGTCAAACTCTGGCCTGACATAATAGCATACAGAACATTCCAGTTTCAGAAATAAAAAGTAGCACTGAGGCATCTTCTAAAAGTCCATTTCAAATCAATTTTGAAAAGAAAGGAAAAAAGAAACATACAATTGCAGTGTAAAGCGTGAGATTCATGGATCATTGACTCGCGCTATTAGCCAAACACCCACATAGAGCTCCACACTTATTCAGGCACCAAACCCCAATGGTTTCATTTCCAGCTGAGACGCAAATTAAGGCCTACTAAGACACACTCAACTGTGGATACGTTTAAAGGAAGCATTATTCGACTATTTTACTGTGCATTGTCGTTATTTCACGAAAGAACGGCTGCAGTAGTTTATCAAGCTGTTCAAACACTTTCTAAAGCAATTCAGGCACTTTCTAAAGCTGTTCTTCACACAGATTATTGCTTTTCAGCTGTGTCCACTGACCATATGTGAATTCATGTCATCTTGGTCAGAATCTGCAAATCTTAAGCTTTTTGTCAAATGAAGTCCCAGACTTACTAAAAGACTTAAAAACGATACACGGTCATACATTAAAATGTAAATTCTGTACAAATGGGAACTATTTGTTCTACATTCTCTGTACTGGTGGAACTGAGGAGACTTCAATTATTTTACTGTGTGTTATATTGGCCTAGGTACAGTATAGTTCAGTAGTTCTGCTACCAGTGCACATCAGTGTAATGGAGTCAGCTCTCTTTATAGTCTCCTAGGGATGCATGCTAAATTTTAAGTTCTGTTACTCTGGTTCCTTCACCTTTTTAAGGCGTTATCCTTCAGTTCAACTCTCCTGTCATATCCAAGCATGGAAGACATACTCGCACACGCTCTGCCTCTCCTGGCTTTATATTTAAAAGAATGCACACATGTATGCAAATGTAACCTGGGCAGATACACATTCATATTACGCCTGATTACACAGAAAAGTAAGCCCGTGCTCTTTAGTAATGAATTAGCGGGTGATGATGATGCACTGTGGCAAGCAGACTCAACTACATGCACGCACAAGGTGATGTTTAGCATCTTAACACGTCTGGAGTGCACAGTCGGCCTGCTTTTCGACGCTTTACGCTATGACATTATGTATTGTAGGAAAGAAGTGTGACACAGAAAAAAGACATCACAAGAAATGAAAATGGAATAAAATTTCAATCTGGATTAAATGTTACTTGTAAATATTAAGTCTCACCACCTGCAGGGAAAATAAGATAAAGAGCATATTAGCCCTTCATCTTGTGGCTCGCTAGAGCAGGAAGAATTCAGTGGTAAGCAGATGTCAGTCTGACATGTAGTCTTATTGAACAGAACAAGAATAAGAACACACCATCAGCAGTGAAAAAAGCAACGTTCTTGTTCAATAAGCGACTGCATAACTATGATGGAAGGAGGAAAGGGGTGGGCCAAGTGAAAAGGAAAAAATCAGCAGTAAAGCTCATACATATATACACACTGGCACTGTAATGGAATCTTAATGTAAAACTTAGTAACTAAAGGGTGGTGAGGTTCATAAAGTTAAGGAAAAGCTTCTAGAAAGTTATCTGGTTGGCCACATTCCAAGATTTGAAGTAAAAAAAAAAGTAAAAATGTAATAACATGCATGCTCAGTATTGCAAACTTGAAAGAATTAAGCAAGGGTATAATACTGCCAATGCTGCACAAGCCTATAAATTATTCAAAACAGGAAATGTTTAGGAAAGCTTAATCTTGACATTTCATTCTAAAGGAGAAATATTTACCCTATTCCTTTCTAACAAATCGTTAAAAAAATCTTGACATCCTGAGCTTCAGTTTCAAACCAAAAGAAAAACTGTACTGTTTTACATTCTGTGCAGAGTTGGTAAAAAAAAACCAAAAAAAAAACCTGAGAAGCAAATGGAAGACTTCCACTTCATAATTGCCTCCACTCCAGTGGTGAAACAGATTGTGAATGCTGCAGCTTAGTTACACCACAGGCTCTCTGAGTCAGGAGGAAGACCCAACTGAGTATTCATGACAATGGACTCTACCGCAATGCCAAAAAGAATAAGAACATAGTGAAATCTAAAGCTGTCCTTTACTTCTTATTCTGAATCAGAACCCTGTCTACAATTCGAACTACATAAAACGTTGTTGTTTTTGTGCATTTGGTGATTGTTTGCTCTTTATCACATTTGCCAAAAATCTGATAAAGTAAAACTGATTAGTTTGTCAGGTCTGTGTGGAATTCAATTCTTCTCCTTGCACGCATCCAATATTACAGATGGAGACAAAAATGAAGTACTTTGCTGCTCAAAGACACATAAATTCTTGGATGACATGGTGCGTTGCTTAGATACACATTGGTTGCTAACAAGCATGCTAAGCCTGGACTGTTGACACCCCCACAGTCACAAGGAGACATCAGGGAGATACTGTCGCACAACTAGTCGGATTCCAATGAGTTCTAAAATGTCTCCATCTAATGATTATTTACATTATTTAAGCTCACACAGAAGGAAAATGGTAGGGTTTGAGTACCATCCTTTTATCCAAAGCACTGTTCTAATGTTTAATGTCATATCAGGCTGGTAAATTACATAAATCTTCCATTAACACAACAGCAATCATCCAGCAACCATCCAGTTTCATCCTCAGGTCTGTTTCACTGGGTGATGACTAAGTCCATTAACAGTCAGTGGTGACCTGTTGCCCTGCACCAGCAGAGAAATAGTTGATTAGAAAATAGCCCACCAATAAGGTCAGAACGGGGAAGAGTAAAAACAGCATATTATGCAACAATGTCACGTCCTGTCTGTTGCTATAACAACCAGCAGCGGTACAAGGACCCCGCAAATGGGACAGGGAGCTCGTCTCCAAGGGAATGTGCATTTTAAGAGCCAATCAGTGATGGTTTCTTTGAGGCTCCTGGCAACAGAAAGTCCCGACCTTTGACCCTATTCAGCTCCTCTTTAGAATTCACCAACATAGTAGGACATCCTCTGAACCGAATGCTAGATCAACAGGAGTGTATTATGGCCTCAACAGCCATTTCCTTGAAGCTCCATATGAGAACATCTTTACCTCTGGTACTGACATAGATCGAGAGGTGATGTAATATCCTGTCTATTGATCACTCTGTTCACAGG